CCCAACGCCTGACGCCAAGAGGCTTAAGCGTCTGACCCACCTGGGAACCCACGCCTGGTGCCAAGAGGCTTAAGCGCCTGGCCCACCCAGGGTCCCAGAGCCCCAAGCAGCCCCTCCCATCTTATGTCACTACATTACCCTCCTCTATGTAGCCTCCAGCCGTCCCGGCTGTTAATAATTAGAAAGTTTAAATTAACGAAAGGGAGAGAGAGAAAAAAAAATACGCGAGCCTCAACAGGAAAATAAAAAGAGAACAAGAAAGCAACCATAAATACCATAACCAACCTGTACAACTTTACACTATATACAAGCGTCAATCAACAAAAAGGTGAAGCAATGACACGTGAACAAACGACCCGCGGCACACCTAACCCTCCTCGGGATCCGCATAGAAAACGGGGAATTAACAACAACAAATATACAGATTCCGACGCGTTGGATGCACAACCACCGCATGGATGGCAGGGTTCCACATCACCCTGCCAGCCTCCCATCCGTCAGGTGGAGAGAAGGCGAAGACCAACATGTCAAGCATCCCTCTACACACACTAATCCGGACGTCTGTCTACGTCCCGGGTCGAGAAGTCGTACTGGGCAAAGAAGTCGCACTTCAGGGCTGCTCCAGTATCTACATTTTAAAATATATATATAAAATTGACATGACACAAACAAAATAAATCTGCCTGCTCCTGTCCATAAATGGTGGCCGCACGCGTGAACCGCATCTCCAAAAGGCATCCCGTGCTTGCGTCTCAGCAGCCCTCAATGAGGACCACCACCGACATTACATGTCAACCGTTAGCACCCCCCCCCCCAACGTGGCGTCTTCATCCTAAAACCGCGCACGTCGGCCATATCGGGAGGCTTCAACCCAGTCTCTCTCCAAGACTCGCATCGCAGCATATAGCTGTACCGACCGAGCTGAGACGACCCAGTCTCTCTCCAAGACTCGCATCGTAGCATATAGCTGTACCGACCGAGCTGAGACCCAATCTCTCTCCAAGACTCGCATCGCAGCATATAGCTGTACCGACCAAGCTGAGACGACCCATCGTTCACTCCCTGCACAACATGCACCCTAACAACTGAGGGATACAGTCCCAACGTAACGGGACAACTACACCTGAACACCACGAATCTCCAGCCCACTGTTTCAACGCGCCTCGGAGTGTTTCAATCTCCGGGCCGTCAGGGCGAGCCTACTGCTCCAGACGCACCACGGAGGGTCTCAACCTCCGGGTCGTCAGGTCAAGCCGTCAGCGATTCCATGACGGGACCACACTCTCCGAGCCATGTGAGCGCACAGCCCACTAGGCTAGACATGCAACGGGTGTCTCTATCTCCGGGCTGTCAGGTCAAGCCGTCAGCCATAGCATGACGGGACCACAACTCTCGTGTTAGACACGCAACACCCGCTGGGCCATCCTGGTCAGGATCTGCACCCCAAGATATTTGAGAGCCAGCCTGACAATTCCAAATCCTTGGCAGCATGTCATCATCTCAAGATAAATGCCCCATACAGTCTATACATCGTTAACAATGACAGCACAAGCTATACATTAACAATCACGAACAAAGCTCAATACAAACCATACATTGTTAACAATCACAAGCAAAGTTTCGCACACACATTGACAACACTCACGAGCGAAGCTCCACACAGTTTACCCAACAACAGTCACGACTCCCCGACGACAACGAAGAAAATGTCAACAAAAAAATCATTAATCCGGAGCGCGTAAATGGACGAAGTGTCAGGGGCCTGGTCTCCCGACCTCCAACCTTTGGCCAGAGCAGCAAAGGCGGCGACCAGCGTGTCGGTCGATGTGCCGGCCCCGGCGCCGGTTACAGTAAGAATGGTGCCCTCACTGTCCGGTCGCAGCGCTGATGACGCGGTATGCTAGGTTGAAGCCAGCTGTCGTCCGGCAGTGAAGGTCGCAGCGCTGATGACGCAGCGTTGCTTGGTTGGACCACGTTGGGCCCGGAAGTGACGTTGCTCCCAGCGGTCATTGCTCCTCCGGTGGAAGTGATGTCATTCCCGGAAGTATCCCTCACATCCGTTGGGGGGAACGCCGGTGGCGGGAATGGCGGCGGCGTCCACCATGTTTGTGGCGGCGGCGGCGGCGGGCTCGGGCGAGCGCCGCGCCTCCTCTCTCCCTCCCGCCATCGGCCGCGAGCACCGCATCTCGCCCAGGAGGGAGGCGGTGGCGCAGAGCAGCTCTGCGAGGCGAAGCAGCGCCTCCTCCATCCCTGCTCTCGACGCTGGAGAGGGGACGGTCGGCGGAGCAGACAGCTGCTCAGCCGGCGGTGCGGTGTGGTTGTTGGCCGGCGGTGCAGCGTCGCTGTCGGCCGGCGTTGGCCGCCCCATCGCTGCTTGCTCCTCGACATCGCCGTCAGGACCGAAGGTACGTGGCTTACTTCTTGTCTCCATAGCCACTTCTGACGCCAAATGTAACGGGTTCCGGAGACACTTGTAGAGGTAACTTCTTTATTACAATCCAACCAACAGTCCAACAGTCCTGATACTCTGTAACAGCTCCCAGGTACACAGCCTAGGTACACAGCCTAGGTACACACTCTGGCTATGCTCCAGAACTCGCCCTCACAAGGTCGTAGAGTCGGGAGTTCCAGAGTCCCACCACTGGCTCTCACAACCTCCCAGGGTCCTCAGATGGCTGGTCTTGGGTCTTGGGTCTTGAGCTACGACAGGCCCTGATTGTCCAGGGAGTTTCGCTTTTATGCCTAGTCCCGAACGAGGGGTGGGGCCGTGTGCGCCCCCAGATCTCCCACAGAGCACACACAGCCCCCCCCCTTTGGCGGCACCAAGGCTTAAGCGCCTGGGCCACCCGGGAACCCAACGCCTGACGCCAAGAGGCTTAAGTGCCCGGCCCGCCCAGGGTCCCAGAGCCCCCAGCAGCCCCTCCCTTCTTATGTCACTACATATTGATAAGTGGATGTTAATAGAACATGTAACTAGTTGTATTCACAACCCCCTGACTATATGCTGTATTGTCACTTTAAAATATCTAGTATCACCAAAGGTAATTTTTAATACCATGATGTTTAAGAATGTTCATATGCATGGTTGGCATTTGAACGTTTCAACTTTCCAGGCACCAGGGTTTGTTAATTCAGAGAGTGAATCGGCAAGGTGCATACTTGTCTCTTTTGCCTGTATTTGCCCTTGGGTGAGCAGCGAGCTTATGGTGTTTTGCCATGGGTCCACCCTTGCGTATATTCTCTCTCAGAAATTTCCCTGGGTCAATCCTTGCACATGCAAGAGTTATTCCTCTATGGCCTGTCATGAACGTCTTCCTCCTTTACAACACGAGTTCGGTGAATTCCCGGGAATCAAAATGTACACCTTCTTCCAGGCCCTCCTCAGCTCTGGTTATTCTCATCATACCAATTTGATAGATGTCTCATTCATTCTGTTTACCCACTTCTCATTCTAATACTGTTGTGGCTTAGCCATCTGGTTTTCCCGACTTCTGGCATGCAGTGAATGCATATGTGTCTGTCAGGAACTGCGACATTCAAAATAGACAAGACATTACAAAAAATTATAATAGTCATACAGTCGATCTAGGGCTGAACGATTTGGGAAAAATATCTAATTGCGATTTTTCTGACATGTTGCGATTGCGATTTGATTTGCGATTAAATTGTTTAAGTCAAGCTTCAGTTCAATATTCATATGTGATGGAGCAATACCACATGATACCATAAAAATATGAACTGCCCTATATAGTCTAATGCAAGGATGAGAACTTAAAAGATATGAATTCCTTCAAACATGTATTTATTAAAATGTTTTAATTCAATTAGAACAAGCAAACATAGAACAATTGCTAAGTTAAATAAAGAAAGTTATAATAATAAAACATAAAACAATTTCAATAAGAAAGTAATAGGACTGTTCAAATCACCAAAAATCGCAGCCTTCGCGATTTGCCAATCGCATTGTTTCAAATTGCGATTTCGATTTGAAATCGATTCATCGTTCAGCCCTAAGTCGACCCTTTCACGTCGCAGGGGTTGGGGGCGCAGCACCCCCCCCCCCCGCGATCTGTAAAAAACGCGTTAAATGTTTTGGTCCCCTTGGCGAGCGAAGCGAGCACCTCCAGCCAGGGGGTACAGGGGAGGGGCTGTGAGATATCACGCGAGAGGCTGCCGTAAACAAGCTTGGCATCCTCCAAACCAACGCGCAAAATAACTTTTCATAGAATTTTACTTTAAAAAAATTGTGTATATTTATGGTATTAAAGAATAAATACATTGATATTATGCATATATGTGATGCATTTTTGCGTTACTAAACTCTTTGTGTGTGATTTGCCGGCCTTCGCATGTCGTCTGCGGTTTTCGCAAAACTCCCCAAAAGAATTCCCATTTTATTTCTTATGCCGACCCCGCGATATATCGAAACCGCGATGGGTAAAGTCGCGATGCAGAAGGATCGACTGTATATACAATAAGGAGCCAGGGTGAGCTGGCTTTGTTGCTCATATAAACACGCAGAGACCTATTGATCAGCGCCGTCCATATCACGAGGATTGTTTTCTGGCAAGGGATGGTCCTTGTGAGCGTCCACATCAAGTCCTTATTCCAGGCTGTGCTATAGTCCGATGAGAAGTCCCCACATTCTGCTTGATCTCTAGGGATCACTGACTCGACGTTCCAGGAGTTTGTAGGTCGTTTACATGCGTAATATTAGCCCATAGCTTCCCAGGTCATCGGTTGGTTTGTCGGGTTTGAGTATTGCAATGACCAACACCTCCCACAATGGTTTTGGGATTCATCCGGTTTAAATGGTTTTGTTCAGATTAACTGCTATTTAGATGCTGTTTCAATGTGTATGTTGTTGTAATAACCTTTAAATGAAAGTCTATGTGCGTCAGTAAACTCATGCATAGTTCACAATTATCTGAAACTGTGGTTACTTTGTGGTGTACTTTGAAAATAATTAATCACGTGTTTGGTTTGTTTATTGTTTCAAGCTGGACACAATGCAACTCCATCGCACCCTCGCACTTGTCTGTCTATAAAGAGGGTCAGGAAGAGAGTTCCAGCCTCCTTTGTGCTCTGAGCAAGCGAGAGGTGAGTCCATGAGATGGTCAACTCTGGCACTTGCATTGTGAATATTAAGGTTGCTGTTGGCATCACGACTGAAAAGTCTCTGTCATGTATATGGCATGTTTAATTATGCATTTGTAGTAAACAAATAATTGAAATCATATTCTTTGGGTCTTTCTGTAAAGTCACGTAGATAGGTCCAAAGACAATTACAAAGAATAACAAAAAACTACGACGTTTTGATCGCAACACAAGCGGTCGTCACCAGGAAAAGGGGGTTAGCTTCTAAAGACAATTGTTTATAAAGGTTTGAAATGGGCATAGCCCAAATGTCAGCAGCCAATGTAAGTGGTGGGCAGCGACTGTGGCGGTGGTGGGTTTTCCATCAATCATTGGTGCTGACCATTATATATTCATTATTTGATATTTGTGTTCGTTGTAAAGCATTTTATGCATATAATAATTGCTATTCACAGCTTCAAAGTGGATTACGCATTCGAAAAAAAACACTTAATACAGAATTAAGGAGACTACAGTCAAAACATATAATTGTTCATATGATACTGTAGTTTTGATGAGCTTAAAAGCAGACGTACACATTTTTTCATTCAAAGAAGAGTTTACCATTCTGTGCCAGCACGCGGATAGCAAGTTACAGAAAAAATGGTGAAACTTTTGGTGCTGCCATTAACCAACCTAAACATCACCTCACCACCTGCATGAGGCAAGGCCTAAAGGCCTGTGCTTTTAAGTCCAGTACCACAAGTGACGGCACATGCATAATAACCGTCATGGTTGGCCATGTGATGGTAATCAATGTATACAAGCCCCCGAAAAAGAAATGGCCATCACCACTTCAGCAGTCACTACAATGGATAATGTACTGTACATATCAGATTGGAATAATGTAATGTGATGTCCAACATATTATCCCTATGCGATCGATTGACCCCAGTGTGATTGTAGCTTTGAGAAGTGCCTAAGACCACCCTACTCTCGCGCAGGGGCACACAGCGTGTGCGTGTGTGGCCTTAGCTCACTCTGGCACAAAGAGCATTGGCTTTCAGATCAAGATGTCATCACGGTCAAAGCTCTTGATACCACCAAACCTTAGTACCACCACTTTTAACTTCTACCAGATCCTGCAATTGCACAGTAGACACACGATCTCTAAGACCAGACCTCATAGTATCCCCATATCTGTCAACTCCAAGCGCCGCACCACTTTTTTCTATACATGACGTTGGCCCCACCCCAGTACACCCCTTACTACTACCTCTAGGGACCGGTGTAGCATTGGATAAAGACCGACTTTTATCAACATTTTCATTGGGAAATGACATGCAGCCAAAAACGTTCTCAATTGGAAAGTATCTTCTTGGTTCTTTCGGTAAAGTCACGTAGAAGGGAAGTAATAAAATAATAAAAATAAAACATAATAAAACAATTCTCACGACGTTTCGGCCACAACGCAAGCAGCCGTCCTCAGGTGAAAACTAGGTCTGTCAAGGCGACAGCGTCTGAATGAAACAGCACACGTGCTTGGAGCATATATATAAGCTGGGTTGGAAGGGGGGAAAAGGGGCGCCTTGACAATAGAATATGCATATCAAGAGGAATTGAGCATATTTATGGGAAATGCAGGTATGTGATTAGTGATTAATACCTGCATTTCCCATAAATATGCTAAATTCCTCTTGATATGCATATTCTATTGTCAAGGCGCCCCTTTTCCCCCCTTCCAACTCAGCTTATATATATGCTCCAAGCACGTGTGCTGTTTCATTCAGACGCTGTCGCCTTGACAGACCTGGTTTTCACCTGAGGACGGCTGCTTGCGTTGTGGCCGAAACGTCGTGAGAATTGTTTTATTATGTTTTATTTTTATTATTTTATTACTTCCCTTCTACGTGACTTTACCGAAAGAACCAAGAAGATGAATCCCTGCAGTCACGAAAGCTTTAAATCGAAATTGGAAAGTAGTTTTTTTAGGAAAAGAGTTTCGGGCCAAGTGGCATGAGAACCACGTGTGGAACTTGAGCACAGGAGCTGGGCAGGATTGATCCATTAGCTTTTGGTGCCATGGCTGAAGTGCTGCTTGTTATAGCACGGTAAATTAAAACACTTCCTATTAGTCTCTTAAAAAAATTGGGCCCGTTAAAGGAATTGATTCCGTACTGTTAAATTCCAAATTTCAACAAGCAACGGCTTAATCGTTTGTTTAAATATCTAAATTGTATATATATTTAATTTGTATTATTAAAAACGTAGATAAGCATGGTAGGTATAAGGAAATACTTTATTTAATATTCATATTCTTTATTTAATATTTTTCACAGATGCTTGACATTTAAATAGGTGATGAACTTTGGTTATTCGTCTGAATATTTGTTATGCTATGATTAAAACAACATTCAATATTCAACTGAATTATACATTGATTTGTATTATTGTTAAATGTTGTATTACTAATTAAGGACGATGTCTATGTGTGTATTCAAGGCTATGTCTGAAGAGGAGGAACATGACATAAAAGCTGAGGATGAGCTTGCCAAAGTACTTAGAGACTTAGGAATTAATACAACTTATTGGATTCCAAAACTACGAGATATTTTGGATATCACCAATGTACAAGCATTGCAATATTTTGGCCCTGAGGAATTTGAAATCATAGAACCATATTGCCGGCATTCATGGGAGAAAAAGGTATTGTGTACGTTATTGGGAATGTCGGGCAATGAAGTTGTTTTAAAACAATCACAACAATGTGAGCCAATTGGAAATAAACAGAAGCAAGATGCACCAGCAAAGCAGCATCCAGAACAAATCCATCAGAAAAGATTAATTCACAGTGGTGAGGCCAACGTAGAGACTGAGACAGAGCAGCAAATGGAATTGAAAGGAGAAAAAGAAACCCCATTACGTGATGGCAGCCATTCCAATGATATGGCAAACACTTCTCTAAAGCAGTTAGATTTAGCAGACATTTCAACTTTACTTGGGACTTTTTCACATCTAAGTCTTTTACAAAATGCATCTAAAGGACTTGCTTTGGAGGGGGTGTATCGAACTGGTCAAATAAAAGATAGGTTAAAGAAAAGAGGCAAACTCTTAAACATCCCAATGTCGTTTGATCTTGCTGGGCCAGTACATCAGCCGATGATAAAGAAACAAGAGTTTTCATCATCTGAAGAGGAAAAAATATTTGAGACAGCAATGGAAGTAATGGGATTCAATACCATCACGACAGAAGAAGGTTTCCTACAGTCCTTGAAGGAAGAAATCAACTCGCAGCATAGCAAGGCATTATACAATGAAAAAAAGCAACAAGATAATCCCACGGATACCTGCATTCATAGCGCCAAATACCTGTACCTACCAATTGCCTCAGGTAGTCTTGACTTTAATCAACTCAAGCTCTCTGATGAGGCGTTGGAGGAATTACAAAGCGTTGAAAACACTTTAAAAACCGCCAAGGATTCTTTTAAAACGCATGTGCTAAAAAACAGGTTAAGAAGTTTTTTTGAGAACTTTGGCTCTCATGCCCATACAGGCCCTGTCCACTTTGGTGGGATATTTAAGTGGAAAGCATCATCAGAGGGCATCAGTTCAGATGAGGTAAAGGAAGACAGAAATATGCTATCGGAGGCAGTGGAAATGTATTCCACTTCTGCCTACAACAGCAGTGGTAGTGCAGGTGGTGTGAGCATGATGGCATCCGAATTTACCACGGAATTTTCTGAAAAATACAATGCTCCACTTCTTAGTAAGGTGACATTTTCCGTAGGTACAATAGGTGGATCACCTGGCATTTGTTCTCTTCAACAATGGAAAACTGACATTGTATCCAACACCAAGACGTGGTCTGTCATTGATCTAGGCACATCATTGGTTCCAGTGTGGGACATTGTCAAGTTTAACCACAAGGATGATTTTCAAAATACCTTGATAGCTAGCAGGCTCAAGGAGGCATACACACTTTTGACAAACCAAAATCCCAATTTTTATCTTGAGACCATATTGGTCTCTGCTAATGCTAAAGCCAGGTCAGTGATGCAAGATATTAAACATTGGCAAGAATCCGACATGGAAAATAATTTAAAAAAGATACTTGATTTGAAACAGACGTTATATGATGAAACGAAAAGCAATTTAACTTGGATAAACACCTGTTTATCTCACCCAGCCCTCCAATCATTTTGGTCAAATCTTGTTACAGCACCTGCCAAAACGGTGAAAATAACAAAGCTTATGCGGTCTATTATGGAGCCAAACAGCTGTGACGTTGACAGTTTTCCACAATTCGCCTCCATTATGCAGTGGCTGAATGAGTCTGAAGGAGTCCCTACTCAATTATCTGACTTTAAAGATCTCGTGAACATCTTAACAAAAGCAAAAGAACATTTGAAAGTTGACTTTTCACCAACTTATTCAGAAATTCATGGAAAAAGAAACAAAGAAATCACACATGCATTTAATTCATTCTGTCAATCACTGAGAACAACAAAACGCATCGAACAAGAGCTACTCATCATTTCAGTTGCTTCTGCTGTTGGCTACTGTGTAAAAGAAAAACGATTTCAGCATCCCCTGAATTACGACAACATTGATCATCTTCAACGTGCACTAGAGTCATCTTACGGAGAGTACTCAAGACTGATGCAACAAGACAAATCCAGAGCTCAGGCATACGTGTTACGGACAGGTTTGTCTAATGCACGGACTCTTGCCGAAAAGCGAAAACAGTTCGATTTCATGAGATCCCAGGTCGAAGAAACAATGTGTGCTGAAGTTTCCCATGTGATTAAATGCAGTGAAATAGGGCCAACTGACTGGAATAAACTTGATATGATGCTGGAATCCATTATCGCTGGAACTTCCAAAGAACAAACATGTAGTTCAAAGAAAGAATGTACGATACAAAATGCAGGAATAATTTCCCAGGGGGGATGTAAAGAGGACACATATTCAAGGCAAGAAGAATTACAAAATAAACCATCTATTCAACCACAAAGAAATGATGATGATGACAAGTTAATTAATCTGCTTGAAAGACTCTCGCTGATAAAATACTACCCCAAAGAATTACACACAAGTGATGTATGTGTTATCAACAGGTCTCCAATTCAAACTAACCCTGATCGATGCACAGAACAAGAACTTGCTCTTTCGTATCTGCAAAAACTGATGATGATTGACTATCGAGCAAGATGTGTTAGTTTTCAGTGTGAAAATCAAAACCAAGGCAAATTAAACAACATATCTCAGTCCACGAATACAAATAAAAGCCCTAATAGTGATAGCTTCTTTTCTGATGATAATGATGATGACGTAATAAATAACAGCGATGGGCCTAGGACAAACACTGAAACCTACATTCACCCTATGGACTTACAAATGGCAATTTTCCATTGTGGAGACAATTTTGTAAGGCAGTACATTTACACCAAACTTTCATTCATCCAGTTCGCACTTCCGCTTTTAGTTCCAAATCCTTGTCGTTCAGAAATAGAATTCCCTATATGGTCATTCAGACAGATTAAAAAGAGCTGGAAATACCGTGATGCATCTACCAAAAAATGGCAATCTAAAAACTGTGCAATAACTGATGCCAACACACCGCTAGTGTCCTTCGTAAGATTTGGTGAATCACCTGCATCGAAATCTCAAATAATGAACTCTCTGCTCGGCAATCAAACGCATCGAGTTTTTTTTAATAGGCACTGCCGAGGCAGCAGCAGGAATGGTCAACTAATGAAAGGAGTTGCAGAGATCGCCTGGTATCTTCCAGGTGCGAAGGACAATGATGTATTTAATGACTGCATAGCATTCACTAATCTCCATGGAGATGCAAGAGAACACAAAACACAGGTAACATTTTTACATGAGATTTCGTCTATAAATGTAATTTTACTGTCAGATGGTGATCGCAATGAAGAAGGCAAACGTATCTTAGACGAATGTTTGAGATCTCCAAAGCCGCTAATTTGCCTCTGTGCTGACAAAAAGAGAGTTTCCAGCAGAGTATCTGGAACAAACGCGAAAATTGCTGTCGAGAATCGAAATGAGGCTGAGTTAATCGATGAAGTGACATCAATAATCAATTTTTTTTTAAACAATTCAAAAATAAAAATAAACATCGAAGCTTGCTCAGCTATTGCAAGACAGCATGGCTTCATTGTTGATGAAGATGATAAACAATGTGAAGAGGGAAAGGATATGGCGAAAGTTTTGCTGAGTCTTATAAGTGACAAGCCGCTGTGTTCCATAAAGGAGACATTTTTGCCTCTTCAAGGGAAATTGTGGCAGTCGTGGTGCAAGAAAGACAAAGAATTGAAACGCATGACGGTAAGGGGGGGACAAAGTGTTGAGGAATACAAAAGTAATATTTTAGGAGAAAAAACACGCATTAGGAAAGCACAGCTTGAAAAAGCATTTCCTCTTAACGATTTTATGAGATCATTGATTGAAATTTTGAACCAAAAGGCATGCACAGTAAAAACATACTTTCTGCATTGGCTACGCATATACTTAGATAATATGTCTGCAGATCGCTTATCACAACTTCATCTCACTTATCATCAGACCTGGATGGAAATAAAAGCGTTGAAAATACAAGGTTGTAACACGAGTACCATTGCTACAAAACAATCAGAGTTGGATAAAATATCAGAAGAACTTGAAGCCTCTTCCTTTGGAATCGATCACGTTTTTAGGGAAGTTGGTCAGATCTACGAAGCTTCACAGACAACGCCATCAGTTGACAAACTCCCAGATACTTTGCCCAAGATTGCTGCAGAAATGATGATCTCTGGATTTCCTCTTGAACTCATGGATGGTGATGCTGCACATGTCCCACTCATTTGGATTAGCTCAATCTTGGACGAAATCATTGCTAAAATTGGGAACGTGAAGCTGTTTGTTATCTCAATACTGGGAATACAGAGTAGTGGGAAGTCCACGCTACTCAATGCCATGTTTGGTCTCCAGTTTCCTGTTGGCAGTGGGAGATGCACCCGAGGGGCCTACATGCAGTTAGTGAAGGTGGAGGCAGAGTTCAGTAAACAGCTGGGATATGACTTCGTGCTGATAGTCGACACAGAAGGACTGCGTTCTGTAGAGTTGTCAAATGCAACACGTAGTCATGACAATCAGCTGGCAACGTTTGTGATTGGGCTGGGAAACATGACCGTGATCAACATTTTTGGAGAGAACCCTTCTGAAATGCAAGACATTCTACAAATTGCTGTGCAGGCGTTTCTGAGAATGAGGCAGGTGAAGTTATCACCGAGCTGTGTGTTTGTCCATCAAAACGTAGGAGATGTGACTGCTCACAATAAGAACATGGAGGGAAGGAGACGCTTTCAGGAGAAACTCGATGAGATGACCCGCATGGCTGCAGACCAGGAGCAGTGCGCTGTTGCATCATTTGACGCAGTAATCAGGTTTGACGTAAACTCTCAGATCCGTTACTTTGCTCATCTTTGGGAGGGAGACCCTCCGATGGCTCCGCCAAATCCAAGCTACTGCCAAAATATTAAAGACCTTAAAGAAATGTTACTTAGAAATGCCAAAAAGGAAAAAACAGTCAATGTCTTGAAGATATCAGAATTCAAATCACGCATTAAAAATCTATGGACGGCTTTGCTCGCAGAAAACTTCGTTTTTAGCTTTAAGAACACAATAGAGATCGCAGCTTATACCAAACTGGAAGAAATGTATGGAAAATGGACTTGGGAACTCAGGAGTCATGTTCTTCAGCAGGAAAACAAACTCTATAACAGCATTGATAACAATACAGATACAATGACACGATTACAGATTGAACGAAGAATTTTGTCAAACTATCAGGATATTAAAAAGAAAATGGAAGAACATTTCAATAGCGCAGATGATGCAGAATTGTTGGTTCAATGGAAAGTTAAATTCGAAAAAGGATTTGAAACAGTGAAAGAAGAGCTAGTATTTGATGCTTACAAAAACTACTCTGCCCTGATGGCTCAAAGACACAAAAAACGAAATCTTGATCTGCAGAGATCAAGTTATGAAGATCAACTTATTAGAAAGAGCAAGGATTTGGCTTCAATATTGAGAGGAAATACAGTAAATGACGAAGAATTGAAGAATGATTTTGATAAAATCTGGAAGGAGTGGATTAAAGTGATAAAAGACGGTATGACCAGCCCTGCAACGCTTGATGTAAAAAAAGAAATTAAAAACCTTCTTTACGACGTTTACGAGAATCAAACTCAACACCTAGAAACAGTGATATTGAATTATCACTTAGGGACAGAACTTAACGTTAATCAAAACGAACACATTATGATGAACGCGACATGGCTTGGAGCTCGGAGTCACCATTTCAAAGATGAGGATACTGAGTTAATAAAAAAAATAATTACTGACATAAAATACAAAGTCAGGAGCTGCATTACCACCCAGGAGAAACATAAAACGAATTTCAACCCATCCTACATACGTGAAATTTTAGAGATAATGAATTCAGACATACAGGAATTTTCAAAAACCAATCGAAGATTTTGGCTCACAGATAAGTTCAAAATTGATTTATCTGTCCACATATTAGCAGAGGTTACGGGGCGATTTCAGGAAATGCATGAGAATTTCCAGAGGGAAAACGATCCATTAGTATACTTCACCAGTAAGAAAGAAGAATACTTCAACAGCTTCAAAATCCGCTGCCAAGGCGCAACGTCCACAACTATTTTCGTGGATTTTTTGTGTAATAAACTGAAAGCATCCATTGAACAGACAGTTTATGATAAAGTTTGCATTGACATTGCAGGCAGGATGAAGTCCACATTTCCGGCATTCAACGGAAATCGATCAAAATTAGAAAACTACATTCTCATAGATTTAGCGAAAAAGAAAGATTTTAAAGCATTTGATGAATATATTCACCATCCAAAAGAACACTTTCAAAAATACATTACGGAATGTGTAGAAGAATATTGCAAGGGAAAAGATAATGAAATAATTCACGAGATGTTAAAGTCAAGTCTTGGGGATACCACAGCTGCAATTACTCGTGCAATCAATAAGGAAACGGAAGTTGTACAAAAAAACGAGTATGATGCATCTTCATGGCTGGATACATTTTGCACACAGCTTGATGACGTCATCAAGTTCCCAAGACACACTTTGGACCAAGGCGACTGCAGCGACATAACGGATATTGGATTTCTTAAAGAAGAATTAACAAAAGGACTAAAAACCGTGGTTGAAGGATTAAAATATACATTCTCTTCAGCATGCTTAAATTATTTACAAAACGTTCAGAACCAACCTCACGAAATACTATTTCGGCAGCTATGTGGGTGCTGGGTGCAGTGCCCGATGTGTAAAGCCATCTGCACAAACACGATGTCCAATCATGACGGAGACCACAGTGTTCCCATTCACCGCCCCAGGGCAGTGAGTGGAGGAATGTGGCATGAAACTGATAACTTTGACACCGACATCTGCACTAGTTTAGTTGCCAGTAACTGCAGCTTAGTGCTTCCAGACAGAAAAATACCATGTAAGGATTATCGTACAGCCGGACCAGAATATGTTTGTTGGAGCATAACACCAGACTTAACCACACAGCCATATTGGAAATGGTTTGTCTGCAAGTTCAAGTCAGACTTAGAAAAGCGCTATAACCTAAAATTTGCGGCGCTGGGAAAAATCCCATCAGATTGGGAATGTATTAAAGAGCATGATGTTATTGAGGATTTAGAGAAACTGTAGGTTACGTAGGTAGAAAAAATAATAGATCACGTTTCGATCGCAACGCAAGCAATCGTCATCAGGCGGAGGAAAGATGATGACGATTGCTTGCGTTGCGATCAAAACGTGATCTATTATTTTTTCTACCTACGTAACTTTGCTGAACGAACCAAAGAGTATGGATTCCTGCAGTCATGAAAGCTTCAAATCAAGAATAAATTGTAGGTTGATTAATTAAACTACAAATGAGCATCCTATGTTACAGATGAACGTATGAATACATGGCTCTGTTTCAAAGTCTGCAGATTATAATTCTTTATGTTATTAATAATAACAACGAACACAATGCATCATCAAACAGCAACATCTCTAAAATGGCTTGGCATTTAACGATCGTTACATGCATGCATACATTTAACTTGAGACATTGTGGATGTTATAGTAAACTGATCATCTGCATTAGACGTGAATATTTTCGCGTAAAATAAATATATGCATATTTTTAGGTAATCCATAAAGAAATATCTACAATCATTTCCAATGTGTTTATTCCTCTATACCCTTGTTTTGTTTAAACGTGCATTTTGTTGGTGATGCACTTCAAATGTAAATACAAAATTAAGACTAGAAATGTCAATGAAAGTGGTAAATTACACATCAACTAACTACGTGCTTAATATTAAATTGTGTTTCTACTTTAACATTTGTAATTAAATACTAAAATCAATATTGCATGTTTTAATGGTAAGTTTGTGCTTCAAGTTCCCACAAATACTCACCAGCCTTGCGCTTTCTTCCTCATGTTGGTGTCGGACCCCTATTTCATGAGGCAGAGCCTTCTCCCCTGGGTACTCTCTTCGAGAGCTTTATTCAGCTGCCATCCCCTCTAATCAATGCCCAAGACTAATATTTTGCCTCTCACGATCGTTCCTTTCAGACTTTTATGTTCATCCAAACTTGCTTCAGCATGAGCATAATAATATATTTCCATTGGATAGCATATGGCCATTTGAAGTCAAATCCAAGTATTCCGTTCTCTGCATGGATATTTGCCAAATATAACATTTAAGTAAATTTTGAAACATCTTTACCAGTAACTTCTTCTTTGCTGCTTATTTCGCTTTGCAGCAGCAATTCTGTCTTGCTGAATGCAATTTTTTCCATTAAAATAATGATATCACCATTACGTACAATTACTTCATTTGCTCTCCAATTATACGTTCAGACCCACCTATAATACATATCTGAGTAAATACAACGCAATTTAAGCAAGCCTCAGGGTACTGCAAATCCATAATGGGAACAAATGCTTCCAATGACTGGAAAGGCACCACATGGGACATACAAATTAGCTGGGTTTACAAGCTCATATAATTTACTAAATTAAACAACATTGTACTGTCAGAACTGCAAATGTAAACAAATACAAAATAAGATCAAAGTCTGTGCCAAGACATTGAACTATTTATTTCTCGACAGAAATAGAAGAAAGCTCTTGAGACTATTAGGAAACTCATCAAATAGAACCAGTCAAGAAAATCAGCAACATAAAAAATATTTAGCAACTTCTTTGCAAATAGTAACACAAATTTACGCGAACCAACCCAAAAAACCTCTACGTGTCAAACTGAGTAACACAAACAGGCAGCCAATATGACTCCCTACAATATCAATGTTGCTGAAATCATGTGCTTCCAAAATGTGTCGCTGATGGGATGTGAAAAAATATTCGTTGAATGTTCATATTGAGGTACAGATATTGGAGAGATGTGTATTGTGACCCTATTCATTTTGGAACTTTTATTCGATTAATTATGTTATGATACAAAGTAGACAACTGACAGTAAGGTTGGCAGCATGCTGTGAAATATCTGTCTAAGACCAGAGGAACTTATTAACCACATTTTCTAGGGCACAGTCGAAGTTAAGAGAGGTTGGCCAATGATCAACATCGTGCCTAAGACGTAAATATCAAATGCATACATGTAGATCACAAGAGACTGATGAAGGTGGAATCGGTTGATACATTACTGGCACACCAACAACATTACAAGTTAAATAAACAAAACTCACATTCGTAGTTCAACCCTTATGCACTCTTTATTACTGACCTCTGTTTGTGCTATGAAAAAGTGCCGTTATCATAAATAATCTGTTTTATATAGATACAAATGTGTATTTATGGCAGTGCTATTGCTTTTTTAAGCTGAACGTTCAGTAACTGATGATAATGACGATAACAACATTTTCATACGTGGACATATAATCGCACAGGTTGGTAAATGTGAAGAAATAACAGTTTTGCATACAATCAATACAATTTCTTCGTTTGATGCATCGAAGTCAATATGCTGTATGACTTGAGCGGAGGACTTGTGCATTAGAATGTTTTTAGGTGATATCCAGATAAGCGTATTAGCAAATATTGTCCACGCTGCCTACTCATCTTCCTTTCCTCCAGATCCATTGTCAGTTATTGCAAAGTTTACATTATTTTTAACACCACAATTCGCATAGCAAGAAGATGGTTTAACTAATGAAAAAAACTGCATATTAAGTGGAACATATCATACAAATCAATGGACAAAAGCAAACAACTTTAAAATGTAAATGCTGAGTGGAAGCCGAATCAACAAAACTACAAATGCAGAGGTCCTATAAATACCAACGAATAGACTGAGATCAATAAGTAGAACAACCCTTCATCATCTGGGCATTGTTTGGAATCCAGGCGGCAGGAAGACCTCACTTTGAAGGGATGAGGAAGGCGATGAAGAAAAGGACATAGATGGATTCATAAAAGCAACGAATAAAAGTGGCATCATTGCTGACGAATGCTTCAGAAGGGTGGACGAGAGGAAAGATCAAGTTCTACAACTGCCAACCGCTTCCAAAGACAACACAAATAATTGACTTTTCACATAATTATTTTACACGAAGCTTCATATTTTACATTAACAACTTTAAGTTATTTGCGTCCATTGCCAATTTGGTCATTGTAACTAAGGTGCGTGAGCAATTGGGAGTCGTTCTGAAATTTGAGTTGTTATTTTCGATCACATGCAACTTCGTATATACATAAAGATTATACTATCTGAATACAATACAGAAATATATTGTACATCTTTAAGTCATATTTGCGAAGTGGAGTGTTTGCATAGTGCTTTGCTATCTGCCATATGATATTTGTTATCTGTGTATCTTATATTATTTGGGAATAAGAATCTGATTTAAATAATATGGTTGGTATTCCAACAACCAATGAACTAAGGATTGTTTGGATGTCGCATTTTTTTTGTTAAGCTAATCTGGATTGTGTAATGTTTATAATGCTGAAGGGGTCACAGTTATTTGTATTAATTAATACTTGTTTGTATGTTCTGGAGCATGAGCATGATATAGTGGCTGTGCAACTAGATAGAAAACATATCCGTTTAAAATAATGTTTTCAAAGTCACAATTCAATGTTTTAATGGGGTCATAACTCTCGGTTTTAATCAATAAATTTATAAAAATCAAAGGATTCAATTATTCTGTGCTTTAATGAAAGCAGATTGTCAAAGTGGTGAACAAGACAAACACGAAATACAAAACACACCAAGGGAATTTGAAAATAATAATAAATGAGACGATCAAGATAGTGACCATATGGCAATGAATGTGAGGGACGTTGGGTTCTGTTTTGCAAAAAAGGTCGCACAAAGAGTTGTATTCTACTTGCATTGTTCTTCGAGTTCACTTGCCTTGCTTTTTAAATAATCCACACGGTCAGGTTCAAGAATCCGCATTACTTGTAAGTCTAAATCAATGATTGTGTATTTATTAGAACAATTCTTCGAGGAGCAAATAAATGCAGAGAGTAGATTTTACCTCTGCCTCCACCAGCCACTAAGGCCAACTGGTGGTTGTAGTCAAGAAGGCCGATGGTTCACTGAGGTTTTGCGTAGTTATTAGGCAATTAAATCAGGTGACTCGGGATGATACTTATCCCTTACCGAGTATTAACGACTCATTGGAGGCATAAGCAGCATCAATTTGTATTTGTTCATTCATTTCTCAATCCGCTTGTTCTGGTGAGGTTCACGGCGGCAGCATGTTGAGTCTGGCAGTTCAAACCTCCCTTTCCCTGCCAATGGGCTCCAGCACTACTATGCACTCCACTACTATACATTAAACTACCATGCGCCACTATACACTACACTATACTCTACACTATACACTGCTATACACTACACTACATATTGCGATACACTACACTTATATGTGTAGTATCTTGAAGGAGACGGATACTTCTTTAGAGGCCACACGCTTTTATTTCAATAACAGCTAGACATCCTGACGCACTGGGGGAATAGCCTAACCCCACAACCTAGGGAGGTACCGCCTCCACTCTATTCCAACTACTCTCCTTCCCTAGTCTACAGCTACTCAGCCCGGGGACGCTTAACGCCACCCTCAGCCCACTCAGTCCCGGCGGGGCGGCATCCTCGGGGCTTGGGGTCCAAGATCTCCGGCGGCACCTTCCTTCAGCTTTAGATGAGATGGACTGCTCCCGCTCTCCGGGAGCCGTCTTATATATCCCCTCTCTGAGGGGCGGGGGTGTCTCGGGGCCCTGGCTCTCGCCAGCCCCCTCCCCTCAGAGCGGTTCCAACCGCCTCTCTGCCCGGCCGGTCCGGACCAGTCCAGACCGATACGTACCCCTCCCCTAGGTTGTGTAACCTGTGTCAACCTTGACCACCACATATGCACAACAATACACTAGTATACACCACTATACTATACACTACACTATACACTACATTACTATACACTACTAGACACGTATTCTAGCTTGACAGTCCGGCTAGCGTGTCTGGGGATGCCCCCGGGGTCTTCGCCATGTGGGACGTGCCCGGTAGAGTACCAGAAGGAGACTATCGGAGGGCATCCTAACCAGGTGCCCGAACCACCTCAACTGGCTCCTCTCAATTCAGAGGAGCAGCAACTTGACTCTGAGGCTCTCCCCGATTAGCAAGCTCTTCACCCGATCACGGATAGTTAACCTGGCAACCCTGCGGAGAAACCTATTACCCAAGGATGATGTTCCAGATCCATCCCTAAATCTAAGCCAGTTCCGCAACAGACACAAAACAGTGTTGTTTCAGAGAACCTACTTCAACGTGTGAGCAATGCGCATTCCTGATGGACTGGACTAATAAGACTGCGCAATATCAAATGTTCTTACTTACTTCTTACTTACTTACTCATGACCATAGGTGAGGGTGTGAATGTAGATCGACCTGTAAACCACGAGCTTTGTACAGTGCCCGCAACACTGCGGGCGCCGCACCAATCTGCCGGCCGCTATCACGCTCCCACTCACCATCACTCGTGAAAGAGCCCCCGAGGTACTTAAACTTCTCCACTAAGGGCAGCTGTTCCCCTCTCACCTGGAGAGACCAAAGCACTGTCTCCCGGGAGTGAACTATGACCCAGATTTGGAGGTACTGATCCTCATCCCAGCTGCTTTACACTCGACATACAACCATTCAAGTGCATGCTAGAGATCACAGACTGACGGGGCAAAGCGGACAACGTCATCTGCAAAAAGAAGCGATGCCACCTCCATACCCCTGTGATGGATACTCTCCCTTCTCTGCTCTTGCGAAACGTGGACCCCCCGAATGGAACATCATCACCGGTTGGAAACATTTAGGCTGGCCTGCCTACGATCCATCCTTGCTTTAACCAGGCTGGATTGTGTGAGGAGCTCACAAATCTTTGAAAGATGTGGGCAAAGTCCCATCGGTGAGCTCCTCTGGCAGGAGAGGCTGCGTTGGCTGGGCCATGTAGCCCGCATGCCCAGCCACCGCATGCCTTAACAGCTTTTGTTCGGCCGGATCGAGAGGGCTAAACGGGTGCGGCACGGGCTAGAGAAGAGATGGAGTGATGTGGTACAGGAGGATGTGGAGCTGACTGGACTTGCCGATGACTGGTACCAGTGGTGTAAAGATCGGCCTCTGTGCAGGAGCCTCGTGAAAGACCCTGCTACTGGGCAGTTGGAGGCAGTCGCCCTCCAACAACAACGGAGCGCGGATGAGCGATGCTCACAACAACGAGCGGAGCACCGGGTGACTAAAGCACAGCAAGTTGGCACAGTAGAGGGCACAGGTGGTGCATCAGCCAGTCATCTCAGTCAGTCGACCCGTGGCACCTGGGTCTGCCCCGTGACCTCCTGCTGGCGGGCGTTCGACACTTCATGTGGCCTCAAGATGCACATGGCCTGGCACAAGCGTCATGGTGATGTCACCGCCATTTAGTGGCGAATAGCGGTTGTTGTTGTTGCACACGTGTGTATGTGTGTGTGTATGTGTGTACGTATGTGCGTATGTGTGTGTGTATGTTTGGGGAGCGGTATTGCAACGGTTAGCGTGCTGCGTTACCAACCTGGCGACGCCATTTCGACTCTCAATCGATAATTTTTTTAAACATTTATTTTATTTTAGTCATGTTAATTAATATTATGTTGCATTTACTATACGGTATTTATTACAGCATCACAAATAAATGTACATTATTTCGTCTTAATTATTAGATAACAATGTTCATTTTTTTTGTTAAATTACAAAAACATTTAATACCCCTGTCTGTACGTGTATTTAAATTGCATGTTGTGTTCCGGCTTATGAGCAGTTCGACTTACGAACGGGCCTCATGAATGGAAACCGTTAACAAGTCAAAGGCCTCCCGTACCTGTGTAAAATAGTGCGTAATTTCTAGCATCATAGTAAAAATGTAGGCTTTGTTTTTTCTTCAAAATTACATTGGTGAGCCGTAAATATAACTCTCAGATAACCGGCACATTTGATTACCCAGCACCCTCCATTCCCCATTGATGACGGATAACGTAACTTCTCTGGTATTTCTACAATTCAGAGTATTTATTTAAAAAAAAAACTGTTCAGGGCCACGTTGTCAGCAGCAGGGGGCAGCGCAGCAGCATCCACAGCCTTACGAACAACCTCACTCACGTACAAGCTAACGAACTATTCGATGTACGAAAGCATCTCAGGGACGAATCATGTTCGCAAGTCGAGGAGGGTGCGTGTATTGTTGCGCCGCGCTAATGCTGCCACGTTTCTGCTCCCCCCCCCCGAGTGGTGAAGTATGGTCAAACAACCCCCACGACCCCCTCACGGCATGGGGAGGCCCTCATCCAGCAGTGACTTGAACGTTTAACACCTGGTAGGAGGCTTTCGCGAACCAATATCATCCATAATGCAGGATTTTTTGGGTTAGATTGTATAAATAAATAAATGTGTCATTTAACCCGCCATCATCCGACACAGCCAATTAGTAAGGTTTGTAACGTAAACAGAACGTGCCAATTCATTACTAGCGTAGAGGTGTAGTGGGTGACACACGTCACGTGCGCCCTCGGAGAGAGTGGCGTCGTGGGACGTGACGTCAGGCTGGCCGTGGAGGACGATGACGTCATGCCCCCAGGGGGGTATTTAAAGGGCGACCCGGGATGGAACCGGGGTTCGTCGGGGGTAGGAGTGGGGACTCGGGGAGTTGATCCTCACACGAGGCTAGGGGAGCCTCCTCCGCCCAACCGGCCGAGGTTGGGGATGGTCCCGGGCCGGGGCAGGGTGGAGATGCGAGTTAGCCGGGGTGTAGGGATCCCAGTACCCTGTCCCCTGGGGGAGTTATTGGCTAGGGGGGTGCTTGTTCGGCGTAAGCCTTATCCACCTGGCGTAAGCCTTGAACAACTTGGCGTAAGCCATTAAATAAACGTGACGTGAGCTCCTAACAGAAACCTGCCTCGGAGTTATAAATTGCACCTCAACACTAGTACAGCAATTCTAGACTTGAAGCTTTCGTGACTGCAAGGAATCATATTCTTAGGTGTTTTCGGTAAAGTCACGTAGGTAAAAATTAATAAAAATAATAAAATAAAAATAAAGATCACGACGTTTCGGAGGCAACACAAGTCTCCGTCATCACACTGGTGTGTTGGAGACCAAACCCACAAATTTGGTGATTTTTGAAATCCACAATGTTGTGTTTACATGACAAACCTTACTATTATGAGTCACATGAGGAGTCGACGTTTGACGACCGTCGGTTGGAGGAGGACGACGATGGATCAGGATCAGTGGAGATTCAAAGCGATTGGAGGAGAGATTCAAACGTAGAAGGCGGGAAGCGAGGGTCGTCTGTAGGGGGTGCCGGTTGACGACTGTTGCTTGGAGGAGGACGTTGATTGGTCGAAGGGAGCGGGGCGAGCGA